CCTATGGTAATTATATGGATATATTATTTTAGCGTCAGTTTCATGTTATCAGATTACAAGTTATTTTCGTGCTGGGTTATTCATTCATTCCTCCTTTGCAGTGGCAAGGAATTTTTTCACTCACACCTGCCCACAGATCTGAATTATCATGAAAAAGCCCAATCCTATTCAATTTAGAGTTGCACCTGAAAAGTGGGAGCTTGTTACCGATCCAACATACAGACACAAATGGAGGTTAGCAATTGTAACTTTGAAGTCAAGTCAAGTTTTTCTCATTCCACAGTTTAATAGTAAAAAGCTCGTATTTATATTTTATATGGCGAACTTACTAAATACAAAGTAAGCAGATTTGAGACTATTATTCGATCTTCAATAAGAACATTAGTCAACTTAAATTGCATACAGGATGCAGGAATGCTATTCGGGAAAGGCCTGGCCTATCATGTAGACCTGATTTCGGATCTTGTCTGGGTTGACGACGATACCGAGGCGAGTTAAAAACTGCTGTCCAATTTGGATTTTAATGAATTCCTTAAAGCAACTCTGTGTGAAATTCCATTGTGTTAAAATGTGGCCCTCCGTCCGAAAGCATCTTATGCGATCTGAAATGACTGTAATTCCCAGTGAAGAAGTGTAAATCAAGGAATCCCTAAAGACGACCAAGTCTACTGGCCGTTTCTTAGCTTGAAGAAGATTCCATTCGAAATGGGAAAGATTGTCTATTTCAACTAAATGGACCTTAGTCCGTCCTCCTCCAGGTCTCCTCAACTTTGCTGAGTTGTCCTCTGTTCTGGCTTGACTAACGAGAGATTACGAATTTCACTATATGCATTACATTTCCAGCCTATATGAAGAGGCGTGATGGAACTCTTCCTCTTGAAAAACGACTGCAAATACAACTACAATGTGATTTTCTTTCGATTTCCATTAAACACGGCATGGCTACGACTCCCAGAAAGAAGCAATACAAAAAGTTACTTAGAGAGAAAATGTCATGACAAGAACTAAGTCGCTCAGGGTGACGTGATGACTGATAGTTTGCTTGTTTCCAAAATCAGATTAGTAGACCTCAAAATAGCATGGGATTTCACAGAGGAGCTGCGACATTCAATGCAGACTCGATCACTCTTAATTCACATTCTGTTAAAAACTTTTATTCTTGGGAACAATAAGACGTAGAGGTCACTTCGTGCTTGAATAAATGGCCGAATTTGCTTGAGCAGCAGAAATAATGTTAGAAGTTGTTTGACCTTGTTTTCGCATATAATGAACTCCGGATTAGGTACGTTCCTCTAAGTCTTCCTACCAATAGGACCAAGTTGTGAAAACAACGTCAAACAACTTCTATACAACGAAAGGAGACTGCGACCACACGAAAAGCCGCACCATCTTGGTCTTCATACCTCGATAAATAATGTTAATAAGGCTAAAATGTATTTGCAATTGTAAAAGACGACATTACTTATTCTCGATATAAGTAGCCTTCGATACTATCAATATTTTTTGAGTAATAATAATTTAACTTAGGCTGTTCAAAGCAATTTAAGGAGTGTTAATTGACTTTTTTTCACAATCAAGTAAATAGACCACACAATTCCATTAAGCCAAAGTTTTATTCATTTCATTGCAGCATACTCGAATTAAATGTAGTCCAGTCAAGTCCTGATTAAACTTATTTTCAATCTCTAAATCTGCTTCTTCCAACAGATACGGCCTCCCTGAAGGAAGAGAAGCAGAAAGGACGAGTGCTGCTCAAACAGCAGAAGGCCTCCTCCAAAGGCCGCATCGGGTCTCGACTCTGCAGTTGCCTTGGTTGCCAGCGCGACTAACGCCTTCCATATCCACCAGTTAACTAGCCGTAATCCACACTCTCCCTAGCCCCCTTGACTACGATGCAATCAGAATGAAATCAATCTTGCAACAGAATATCCATCCGTCACGCCTCCTGCGCCTCTTGTCCGCTCAAATCCGCTATCATCGCACCTCCAAATTTGGCCCGTATTTTTCTAGATCCAACTGACCACAACACTTTTGTCATAATTGCCCCTTTCGAACAGAATACTTTGGCTGGTGCCACATTCCCGCCCACGGCGGAAGCTGGCCGGCCCGACCCGACTCGGCCAGAGAAGACAAAAGGAGGTCTGCGCCGCCGCCATTTCCTCGGATCCTGGAGAGGACAAGTGATAAGAATCACCTAAAAACGGGGATCCTTGTAAAGCTTAGGTCTATTCTCATAGCAATCTTTCGTTTTTCAGTGCACCGACGGCTTGATTGTCGTCCCGAAAGCCTCTCGTTACTGTTGCCTCACACTTGACAGGCCACAGTTGCAGTCAAGTGCCAGGCAATCTGCTCTCACGTCGATTACAGACCACCTCTCCACTGAACCGCGTGCAACATCAGAGCCAGTAAATCTCCCGCTCTACGTAGATCTGGTGTAGGACCTTCAGATAAACAAGCATTAAGCCTACACGATGAACCCTTACACTTCTCCCGACCCCTCCCTCTCTCCCATGCCGTTTCCTGATGACATCCTCCTGTCAGATAATCGTGGGTTCATGTTCATCGCCTGAATCACTTGAATGTATGCTGACATGCCCTTTCATTGAAATTCATGTTGTTCCCTATCGCTTTCTTCAAACTGATTACCGACCAGCACTCTGTATCTATCACGTTGCACTCATCTAATTTCATTATTTTCCGTTCTTTCCACTGTCCTGCAGTGTATCAGACCAGAACATGCTACAAAACAAGTTGCCTTTATTTTTTAGCTCTTTCTGCTAAATACAATTATCATTATTACGTCAAGTAAAACTGGTCTTTTGTCCTACCCTCCATCTTAATGTAAGCTGATAAGTAATATATGGTTAATTAGAAAAATTAGTCATTAACGATGAGGCAGGTACAGATATTGGGATTTCCAACAATAAGATTACTATACCCATGTCAGACTTCCACAAAATCTTTCCATACCTGTCTCATCCTCTCATTGTCACCCTTACCGGGGCTCGGAGCCGAGTCAGTAACGTCAAGGGGCAGCCACACAACCACATCTGACAGTGTATC